TTTCTTAAATAATCTAACTACTTTCAATAGCAAGTTGATTTTAAAAAAGCAGTTTTAACTTTAATAAATCAAAGAAATGCTAAGGAACTTTGCGTAAAACTTAAAGCCAGTGAACAGGTTAGGATTCTGTTCAAATAGTAGGTACATGAACCTATCGACAGCTCCTAGCCAAGTTTCTTAACACCTCTGCACATCACCTATCTCAGCTGTAACAAGAACAGTGAAATTTATCTTTAGCCTCCTTTTCTCTTTTCTCTACTCCCTCCTTCCTCCTTTCATTGACTCATTCAGTACTTCATTCAACTGAGGTCTGCTGGAAGGTAGGCTTTATTTCTGGGCAGGGAACAAAGAGCTGGAAAGCCACAGTCATGGAAGAGGAAGGCAACTGATATCACGATTCCTTTGGTTACCAGTAACAAAACTAACCGCTACCCATTAGACAAGAGCAGGGGGAGATTTATTAACTCCGATTACCAATGGAATAACTGTAGCACAACAGGGTCTCAGGAATAGCAAGAAACAAGAACTTACAAATAGCCAGTTTCCTCTGTGTATTTCTGGGGAAGAAGGGGGTCTCTTTTCTTCTTTGTTTCTCTCCACACTTAAGCTTCATGTCCTTGGGCTGGCTATTTCATGAATGACTAAAATATGAATGGTTAACAACTTTCAGGCTCATGAAAACTAGCTTAATTAGTAAAAGAGGGGAAAGTCTTGTTGTGAGTCTCAAATTTAAAAATTTCAGGAAAGGGCTTTGATTGTCCTATCCTGAATTAGGTGCTCATGTAGAGGTCAGAAGTTAGGATGAATAAAAAGATGGCAACTTCCATTTAACCCACCTGATTACAGAGATTAAATTATTGGGAAAGTCACAGTGCATTTATGCATAGAAAACATAGAAAATACTTCATGATTTCCCCAATGACCTAATAGAAGGAACATATAGCAGAAGCAAATGGTGCTGTTCTGGATTGACAAACCAATAGGTATTTCCTACAAATTTTACATTTGGTTGTTTTGGGGATGAACTCAGATGACCTACATCAATGAGTCTCAAAGATTCAGGATGGTACCAGCAGTTGGCATAATGGCTATTTTGCTAGACTCCCATGTAGTCGACTGTGGTTTGAGTCCCAGACCTGGTGGCTTTAACTCAAGCCAGGCACTTGTGCATGTGTTCCTCAGATCCCTAGAGGAGAATGGAGGAGAAGGGATTGCAGTGTGGCCATTCCTCCTGGGAGGGGTGATTTCTCACTTTCTGTCTCTCTGTCTCTCTCTGTTTTCCTGGTGAGTGCATGCACTCTACAGCAAAAACTTCTCCAAAAACAAACAAAAAGATTCAAAACAGTGCCTGGGTACAGCACTCAGCCATTGCACATAACAGGTGCTATGTAGAGTCTAATTTTTTCCTTCATCAATCCTTGCTCTCAGAGTCACTGCTTGCCTCAATAATGCCTTCATCTTTTGCTAAGTAGGAAAAGTATTCCCTCTGGGTAGATGAACCCCTCTGGGTACAAGGTATGACAAACAAACAGTCACATCTGTGATAAGAAAAAAAGCTCATTTTCTTGCATTGAATACAGCCTTGAGTCAGGATTGTGCCCTGTGAGTAGCGTGTAGATCAGATTTCTCCCTCTATGGCTCCCCCAGCCTTGGCCCTTTCCCTTTGTATAATGCACAGACTGCCCAGCCTGGATGAGGCCTGCATTCTCTTTCATGTGGTTTTCAGGAGCCCGTGGACTAACTACAGGCTATGGTTCCCTATTAAATACAACCTCCCAACATCACCAATCCTGCTCTGTGTTCCTTACCCTGGTGTAAGGCTTTCTGCCTTTCCCAGGCAAGCTTACCTTACTCTAATGAGCTTCCTAAGTCCATAGGCCAATGACACCACACCGTTTTTGCAAAACCTTCCTCAGCACACCCAGAGCTGTGTCCTAACCGCCTCCTCTGCACTTCCAGAAGCCTGATCTTTATTCCCTACCACAGCACTGATCACATTATAGAGTAATTATCTGTTTGTTCATCAGTTCCTTCCGCCTCCCCCTCCAGTGACTGTGGCTTTCCAGCTCTTCGTCCCCTGCCCAGAAATAAAGCCTGCCTTTTAGCAGACCTCAATTAAATGAAATACTGAATGAATCAATGAAAAGGAGGAAGGAGGGAGTAAAGAGAAAAGGAGAGGGCTGAGAAGAAATTTCACTGTTCTCACACAGTCCTGTGTCTGTTTCAACATTTGTGCTTGACACAAAAGGAGAGAAGCAAGCCTGGAGCCTATGAGACTCTTAGAAACAAAGTCGCTTCCTGTTTCTCAAATCCCTTGCATTTGAGAATTGTGTTTTTGTTTTTTAACCACTTGACACATTATCTTTTTTGCATTTGGTGAACTGAGGTTTCTGTTCAGGTCTGTTTGGTCCTTCCAGCCTAAGTATTCTTGGGCTGATGGGAGGGCATTCCAGATAATCCTCCTTCCCACTCCACATACATACCAAGTGGGATGGGCCCCCATTCTAAGTATTCCTGGCAGTCAGTTTTGGCATCTATGTGGGCCAAAGAATGAGGTCACAGTCACTAGTGAAGTCACCTCTGCATGATTCATTCAACATCAGTTCCCTACTTGGAGTGCTCTAGTATTCCCAGAGCTTCTCTTAGAGCACCCAGAACCTAAGTCCCTATGGGATGAGCTCACAACTGTAGGTCAGATGACTGAGGACCAGAGAGGGGAAGTGACATGCTCAAGGTAATGCTGCTAACTCATGTCAGAGCTGAGACCAAATTCAGCTCTCCTGGCTGAGTGCCCTCCACTAGCTCCTTAACCTCTTCTGATAGACCTACCTTCAGAATCCTAGTTCCAGCAAATATTGCCTGAACAAAGCAAAGAATGAGGCAAGCCCCCCTACTTCTCCTTTAAGAGAATGTGGCAGAGGCTGGCCTTGAATCAAGATCTAACTTAAAGGCACTGCCTTTCTTAACCTATCATTCAGTATACACACTGAGTGATCTAGAGCAGTGGGCAATGGCCACTGTAAACATAGTGTCCCTCCTTATCTGGCCTGGTGGGATGTGCATACAGGGAATTAGATTTTTTCTAGGGTCCCCTGAAGATAATGAAGATTGTTCATGTCCCTTATTTAAAATAGCATAACATTTGCATATAATTTACACACATCCTCCTGTATACTACAAATCATCTCTAGATCATGTATAACACCAAATACAGTGTAAATGCTACATATTTGTTATACTGTATTGTTTATGGAATAATGATAAGGGGAAAAAAGTCTGTTCATGTTCCATGCAGATGCACCATCATAGGCCTAACTACATGATCATGGCTGCATCCTGGGATCCAGAGGGCCCACCGTTTCCATCCAGACCAAGGGTGAAAGGGCAGGGTCTAGTGAGGTGCTCAATGTGAATCCACAAGGAACTTTCAATAATCCCAGAAGTCTTCCTAGGGGAGTGGAAATCAGGAAACCAGACATGAGCTCATAGCAGTGGGCATTTCCCAAGGTGTGCTCCAAGTCCTCGAATGCTGTGAGTAGCTGGAAGCCTTGGGGATAACCCCTTCAACTCTCTAGGTCTGTTCACTCTCTTACAGCCTAAGGGAGATGGCTCAGCAGACTTCGGTGCTGCCTCTGCGCACATCATTTTCTAATGCCTAATGCTGTCAATCGATGAAAGGAAGCGACTTATCTCATGTCAGCAAGGGGAGTGGGTGGGTTTGGTGTCAGAGGAGAGCACCCTGCCTCCAGTGTCCCAAGTCCCAAGCTGTACTCTTGTCTAATGAAAGGGACCTGGCCAGAGGAGTTTTTCCAAGCTTTGCCAGACACAGGGGCACCGGCTGCAGTGGGGTCACAGGCCAAGTCTTAGAAGAGCAGGTTGTATCACTTCTCAGGGATCACAACCTTCCAGGGACACTTGGACAGGATTAGACTCGGAGATTATCACCTCCAGGGGGAGCACAGGTACATTTGCCAGATCCAGGACCTACGGGGGGCTGGTGGGTCAGCATGCTGTATCTCCCTTAGTCAGCAATTTCACAGTGTATGACTCAAGCTAGTGCTGCGAAAAGGCACTGGGAGGTGGTTGCGGGGAAGAGACCAAGCAATAAGCTAGGAGTCCTTGAATTCAGCTGACCCCTTCACCCCGCCCCACCCAGTGCGTCTTTGAAAAAATGTTTTAACCCTATTGACCTTCTAGTTCTACTGTGTACCTACAGGCCTTTAGGCTGTCTTTTGCCTTCCGGGTGGATTTTAAATATATATGTTTAATTTTGCAAGACTATTGCGTCATTGTTGAAGTCGTCGTGGTTCCCCTAGAGGCTTCCTCATCTTCTCCCAGCATCAAGGCCTTTGGACGCTTCCGGGCGCTGCGGACACTTTCGCGAGGAGCCCTTGGCTCCTCCGGAGCGATTCCCTCCCGTCCTCCTCCCCCAGCCTCACCTAACTCCCCCTCCCTCCTCCTTCACGGCTCCCCCTCCCCCGCCCCTCCCCCCCGCCCGCCCCGGGAGCGA